AAAAAAAAAAAAAAAAAAAACCTCTTCATAAGAAGATACAATGGATAAACCAAACTGCTAAGATTCGATCTCAGGGCCTGTCTGGATCCAAAGCCTGTGTCCTTTCCACAAAGCTTAAGGGCAAGCTAAGAACAAGTAGTTGATTTACAAAAACAGTATTCATTTAGAAATGAAATTTAATACATAAAACGTAGTATATAGGTAATTCTTCCAGAGCTGGTATGGCAAAAGACAGGCCCCTGCACTGGGAACTCATGGACTGAGACCAGCCTTGACTTTGGCCACTGTTTCATAGTGGGGTTTTAGGAAGTCTGTTCTTTTCTCTGCTTGGGATCCTTAAATTGCCAAATGAGAAAGCATGAAATTTCTGGTTGAGACATAAATTAAATTTATATGTCCATAGAAATAGGAAAATCCATAGATATCCCAAAAATATTCTATATATCTTTCTAGGGATAAAATAAACTGCTTATCAGAAGAATTAACTGCTTTTCTTAAATCTGAAAAACATATTTTTAAATTAAAATAAAAAATTACCAAACAAGGCTCAGCACCTATAGCACTGCGGCTAGGGCTCCAGCTATATACACTGGAGCTGGCAGGTTCAAATCCAGCCCAGGCCTGCCAAACGACAACTACAACCAAAAAACAGCTGGGTGTTGTGGCAGGTGCCTGTAGTCCCAGCTACTTGGGAGGCTGAGGCAAGAGAATTGCTTAAGCCCAAGAGTTTGAGGTTGCTATGAGCTGTGATGCCACAGCACTCTACCCAGAGCAACATAGTGAGACTCTGTTTCAAAAAAAAAAAAAAAAAAATTACCAAACAAGGAAAATGATGATCCTGATGGATATGGTTATATAACCTATGTGACTTCTCTCTTCTGTCACTAATTCTCATTAGTTAATATCCTCTTTCTAATTATCCATTTGAGAAGCTTAAAATATAATTGCTCTCCCAGTTCTGCGTATTTAAATGTTTTTATATCTGCCTTATAACTTAATTGTATTTGCTTTAAGAATTCATATAGTGGCTCGGTGCTCACAGCACAGTGGTTTTGGTGCCAGCCACATACACTGAGGTTGCCAGATTCGAACCCACTAAAACAACAATAACAACTACAACAAAAAGTAGCTGGATGTTGTGGTGGGCACCTATAGTCCCAGCTACTTGGGAGGCTGAGGCAAGAAAATCGCTTAAGCCCAGGAGTTTGAGGTTGCTGTGAGCTGCGACGCCATAGGACTCTACTGAGGGTGACAAAGTGAGATTCTGTCTCAAAAAGAATTTATGTATTTACGTTCACATACTATTTCTGTGTTCAAAATCTATAATAAAAAAGGCAATGAAGTCCCTTAAGAGAAATTTATGAGTGGGCAAAATGTCCCAATAATTAATCAAGGTTGCAACATGATCTGGCAGTTTCTAAAAAGGAAGCAATGGTTTAACTTCAGAATGACACTCACGTCCCTAGCACAATCCAGCTACAACTCCATCTGTGAGATGACCCACAATCTCATCTTGAATAATAATTTTTTTAAATAAGAATTTACACCAGGCATGGTGGCACACCTATAATCCTAGCACTTGGGAGGACAAGGCAGGTGGATTGTCTGAGTTCACAGGTTTGAGACCAGCCTGAGCCAGAGAGAGACCTCGTCTCTAAAAATAGCCAGGCATTGGGGTGGGTGCCTGTAGTCCCAGCTACTTGGGAGGCTGAGGCAAGAGAATCACTTAAGCCCAGGAGTTTGAGGTTGCTGTGAGCTATGATGCAACAGCACTCTACCAAGGGTAACAAAGTGAGACTATGTCAAGAAAGAAAGGAAGAAAGGAAGGAAGGAAGGAAGGGAGGGAGGGAGGGAGGGAGGGAGGGAGGGAAAGAAAGAAAGAAGAAAAGGAAGGAAAGGAAAGAAAGAAGGAAAGAAAGGAAAGAAAAAAGGGAAGGGAGGGAAAGGAGAAAAGAAAGAAAGAAAGAAAATAAGACTTTACCTGACTTGCCTAACAGGGCTGAGAAAATAGAAAATCCTTGTTTCTCTTCACACAGATGTGCTGGTCCCCTTGCCTAGGAATCTCCCTAAGCCCTCAGTGCCCACCTCCCAGGCAGTGGCCCAGACAGTCCATGGTCTGTGAAGTACTAGAACACAGAGCTGGAGGTGAGCCAGGAAGCAGGCAAACAACGCTTCATCTGTATTTACAGCCACTCCCTATCAGTTGCCTGAGCTCCGCTTCCTATCAGATCAGTAGCAGCAATAGATTCTCATCAGAACCCTACCAATCTAGGTTGCCTGTTCCTTATGACAATCTAATGGTTGGTGATCTGAGGTACAGCTGAGACAGTCATGCTAGCAGTGGGGACAACTGCAAATATAGATTATCATTGTTAAAGAGGTCTGACTGCACAGAGACTAATAAAGCAACTGCCTGCAGACTGATACCAAAACTAGGAACTAATACGTTAATATTCACAATTCTATGAGGTTGGTATTTTTTCCATTTTATAGATGGGGAAACGAAAGCACTGAGAGGTCAAGTATTCATTTGTACTACAGAGCTAGTAAGGAACTAGAGAAGAGCTAGTTAATTTGAATTCTGCTAGCTCTTCTTCACTTAAGCCCAGGAGTTTGAGGTTGCTGTGAGCTATGATGCCACAGCACTCTACCAAGGGTAACAAAGTGAGACTATGTCAAGAAAGAAAGAAAAGAAGGAAGGAAGAAAGGAAGGGAGGGAGGGAGGAAAAGAAAGAAGAAACAGCAACCTCAAACTCCTGGGCTTAAGTGAAGAAGAGCTAGCAGAATTCAAACCTAGGGAGTTTGGTATCTGTATTCTTTTTTTTTTTTTTTAAGATATTTTATTTATTTTTTTAGGTACTTGGTAGAATGCTGTGGTGTCATAGCTCATAGCAACCTCCAGCCAGCTCTTGGGCTTAGGCGATTCTCTTGCCTCAGCCTCCCAAGTAGCTGAGACTACAGGTACCCACCACAACACCCAGCTATTTTTTGTTGCAGTTTGGCTGGGGCCAGGTTTAAACCCACCACCCTCGGTATATTGGGCTGGCGCCCTACCCACTGAGCAACAGGCACTGTCCGGTATCTGTATTCTTAACCACTATTTTATTCTGTCTCTGACGGAGAACAGAAAGGGAAGTTTAAAAAACAATTTTTTAAAGAGACACACAAGGTAAGAAAAGACACCAATCATTTCTCCATTTGCTATCCAATGGTACTCAAAGATTACTGGTCTTGCAAGATGCCAAACAAAAACCAGGAATCTATCTTTTAAAATTGGGTAGTACCAGGCCAGGAGTATACACACCTGTAATCCTAACACTCTGGGAAGCCAAGATGGAAGGATGGCTTATAGCCAGGAGTTCTAGACCAGCCTGAGCAAGAGTGAGACCCTGTCTCTACAAAAAAATATAATCTGGGTATGGTGGAGTGTGCCTATAGTGCCAGCTACTCAGGAGACTGAGGCAGGAGGATCACTTAAATCTAGGAGCTTGAGGTTGCAGTGAGCCATGATGACGCAGTGCCCTCTAGCCTGGGCAACAGAGTAGGATCCAGTCTCAGAAGAAATAAAGTAAAAAAAAAAAAAAATTTAAAGTATCCCCAAATATTATGTATCTTACTTTGAAATTCATAATATTTATAAGCATTTTCAAAGTTCTGAGAAATTGTGCAATTATAAAAACCTGCGTGCTTTTTGCAATCTACCATTCATCAAAATAATCTCATCATGGTACCCTTTTTCAGCAAGATTAGAATCTCTAGAAAGTCATAATCTAAAG